AATGATGTGCTATGTTAGTTTATGATGGCTTAATAGCACTCTTACCTTTAAATTTTCTTGTCATGTTGCATGCTCTATTTTTCCATATGAGGAGTAGATTGAATGAGAGATTGAGAAATGACGGCTGTGAATGTAACTAATGATATGGACGAGTGAGGGATGTTAGAAATTGGGTCAAATTTGACCCGACCCATTATCTGTGGAGCGTCTACATGGGTTATAGATAATTTACTTATTAAATAAATAAGATAATTAGAGGGATTATCTTTGGAAGTGTTATAGTCTACAACTCCACTTCTATCAACAGAGAATCTTTGTATATCTGATATAGAGAAAATAATATACGTATTAATGGTATGGGAGTTTACATGGAAAATATTATGCAAAAACTATTTCTCTCTATTCTTCCCTCCTAGGTCACCATTGTACAACCTAGGGATTTGGAGTGTGGATAATGGTAGCTTCTCAATTGACGACGAAGGGTCTTCTGGATGAGGCTCATAGTTCAAGTATTCCGATTCAAACTGTTTTCACTTCAAGTAATATGATTACTCACATATTTTCCTTTAGTTCACATTTTTTAACCTCAGCGTGATTCCAAATGGTTGGCCAATTAACACTTTTGTTATGGGGAAGGTGGTTGGAGACGGAGTTACAGTGACAGAGAGCTAGGGGCTACTGGTCAGAGATGGAGGAAGTGACAGTTAGAGATGGTGGTTTGGTAACGTTGGAACATAGTTAGGATTTAAAATGTGGGGAAATGTTTTGGTGTGTAATGCACACTGTATGCAACCTTAACACAAAATTATGTAAGTTTTTACGAACTTATAAAAGTGATCTCACAAAAATGTATAAGTTGAATACAAATTCGCATAAGTTGGTGAAACTACATGATTTTGTGAATTTACGCGAATATGTGTTCAACTTGTGCATTTTTGTGAGATCACTTTATATAAATTTATAAAAACCTATGTAATTTTGTGTTAAGATTGTATATAGTGTACATTGCACATCAAATAATTTTCCTAAAAGGTGGGGGATGCATAGTGGGAGTAAGGTTTTTTTTATTTCTTTAATTTTGTATGTGGTGTAATTAAAAATTTAATGTATTCAATTGTTTTGGTGGTGTAAATAGAAATACCCAAAAAGAGAAGGAAATTGTCCATATAGCTGAACCCACATAATTTGAATCATTTAGATGATGACTTATTGACAATACACAATACGTAGTTTATGATTAATGATCTCACCTAAATGTGTAGATCTCACTATTTTCTAACAATTACAAAATATGTATCGCTTACATACTTTTTCATTATGTGAACAAAATCAGACTTTGGCTTGTTGAGCACGTATGGTGCCCAATGATAGTTCAGAATTGAAGTAATTACTCACACGTCCTGTTATAAGGACCTATGCACTATTAAATTTCACAACTGTTTATATTGAAAAAAAAGTCTCACAAGTGTTGGTGACATTTTGTTGTAACAATTTTTAAAATTTGGCACTAAAAATTGATAATTAGTAACATTTTTCTGTAATGATTTTCTAAATCTATTGCTGAAAAATAACAATTAGTGATGTTTTCTATGACGTATTTTTCAACTGTCACTAAAAACTAATAATTAGTGACAATTTTTTTTAAAAGAAAAGGCCACTAACTAACTTAAGACCTATTGAAGAAAGTCTACCTATTTTGACTTGCACATAAATCTCCCATTATTTTTTCTTTTTCCTTTGTGTTTTTCTTCAATATTTTTTCATAGCTCTGATTAGTGGGTTGAGTGGAAAACAAAGGCCTCCTTCGATGATTGATAGCATGGTGAAAGGGCACTCCTCTCTGCCTCAAGGCGTTGTCTCAATTTCTGCAAGCTCAAGGTGGACATCGGCCGGGATGCCGTACTCCTCCCTGAACGCAGCTAGGACAGCCGGAGTATCTACGAGGAAGCGAAATTTCCCCATTTACGACCGGCTAAATTAGCTCGGCTTTGGTTTGGCACTGTCAGGTGATTTGTGGCTGCTTGGTCTTTGGGAGCCTCAAGATTGGACAGTAGTCCCCTTCCTTAGCTTCCAGGTTGACCGTTGCTGTCTGGTCCTAGACACCGGTCAAAGTCTGGCCGGTCTGCCCCTGCTCGGTTTGGTCATCTCCCTCAGCGTCTGCCCCGACTTCTTCGAGTCCTTCCTCAGCCTCAGCCTGCAGCGCACTGAAGACGTCATTGGCGTATGGAATGAGGTAGGTCGGTAAGAAGACAGCCGGTGGAGAGGCAAACACGTCAGTATCAGGACCTTGACCAAGCTGTTGACAGGCAGCCTTCCATCCAGCTTTGAAATATATGTCCTGGGTGGCGAAGACTTGTTTTTTATAGTTGTCTTCCGCCTCTTTGAAGCCGGCATTATTAGCGTCTTCACAATCTTTCTCCCTGGACTTCTTGAGCACGTCCAGCTCAGCTTGGAGCTCATCCCTCTTTTTCTCGGCTTCGTCGAGTTGGCCGAGCAATCGGTTGTTGTCGGTGTTGGCGATTTCAAGCGAGGACTTTGCTCGTCCAAGCTCGATCTGGAGGCTCTGGACTTGGCTGGCGGTATCACTGGCCTTCTGCCGAAGTCGGTGGATGCGTTCCATGACCAAGTGCTGCTTCTGGATGGCCTGCAAAAACAGAATTCGATCAGAGAAAAAACTGTGCAAACACTTGTGAAAATTGGAGCAGAAGATTGAGATTCTTACCTTGGTTATAGACTTCAGGGCTGATTTCACCAGCCGAGTGTCAGGAACGTGGTCGCTGCCAACCACGTCGCTCGGTAGCAGCAGCGCCTTTAAGAGGTCAAAGGCAAGCAAGTGCTCACTGTCGCCTTTGACCGAAGCATTTGCCGGGATCTCTTTGCCCC